TTTAGCAATCAAACTAAAAAAATAATAATTAAAAAACTAATACATACTTGTTACACCCATATTTCAGATCCCATCCAAAAAACACCAATCAATAAAGCTATAGCAATATATGTTTATAAAAAAGTTTAATCAGTAAAACCAATAAAATACTTCAAAACAATCCAAACTTATATTTGTGTATTATAGTGGTATAATTTATGATAAAGAATGCTAAAATTAATTTACTAGTTTAAATGCTATGCAGAATTTGTATAAATTTTGGTATTTACAATTATTATGGTGTATGTTAGGATTAAAAATTTGTGTACACTTCAAATTGATATATATATCATCATTTGAACTACAAACTAACCAAACAATACCAATAAACTAACTAACCACTGTCATATAACAAAACTTTATAAATCTTATTTTATATTTGTTGGTAGTTTTATTTTCGGTAGATACAAAATAAATAATAGTGCTTAGCAGAATAACCCGATAAATAACATAAAAATTCAACAAAAATACACCATAATGGTTTGATGTATATACGCCACTAACTAAAAAACATATGCATTCAAAATATATGGACTACACCAATACATAAACCACTAATTAACCAATAATTTAACTATAGGCGAGTACCTACGTATGGTGCAAAGCAATTGAGAACAACATAGTTTATGTTTTACAGATTCCATCCAAAAAATGCCAATCAATAAAGCAATAACAATATATATGTATTTATAAAAAAAAAAATCAATAAAACCAATAAATATACTTTAAAACAACCATAATCGAAGCAATTATTATGGTGAATACCTGTATCATTCCATCTCCCGTCGTGCTGAATTAAAATTGAAAAAATGTTCATATTTTCCATTGAACACACTTTCAGAATAGTGAAGGTATAGAGTTTGATTTTGATTAGAATTATCAGAGAGAAGCAATAACTATATTAGAGATATTTATGGAAGGTAAATAAAAGAGGGGAGAAAATTAAGGAATTAAAAAATAAATTGTGGGCTGTCATGCTTTAATTTCCGATTTTTCTTTTTCTTTTTATTATTTATTTTATTGTTCCGGTTTTTTAAAACAATAATTTGAATAAATTAGGGAAGGTAAAATTATTGGAGAAATTTATGGGAATCGGGATACTCGTGGCTGGTTTGGAATTTTAAAAAAAAATTAAAATTCTACTTTTGAAAAAAAAATATTGCTATATAATTGGAAAAAAAAAGTATTACTATGTTGGTGTAAATACATTTGTTAAGTTGTATACCTAAAAAATCTATCCTTTCAACCATCCGATTTTAGTCGTAGGAATAATATCTTCATCTAACATTTCATTCATTTGAAATAATGAGACTAGATACAAATTAAAAAAATATCCTATAGTAGTGGTGACTTTTTATTTGTATTTGTTTTGTAAATAGTCATATGGAAAAAAAGAAAAAGAAGTTAAATGTAAGGGGAAGAGAAGCAACAAATTGACAACCAGCATGCTAAAGTTACTTACAGAATTGAATCAATTTAAAGAAAATTTTACATTTTTGCCAAATTTATATTATCATAAATAGATCTAGATTTATCATTTCATTGATTTTGAGTGTTTTTCAACTATTTGTTTTTTTTTTTAAATGATATAAAATTTTGAAACAAATCTTATTTTTTCTAAAAAAGAAATCTTACTGGCGAAAGAAAAATAATATAATTAACCTATGTAACAACATACATGATCAAGTTTTTTTCTTTAACCTATTTTTATGTTATGCTAAATTATATATATGTGTGTGTGTTCTTTATAACAAAATCTTGCTATAACAACATAACAACAAACAAAAAAAGGAAAAGTCTGTTGGTGATCATATTGTCTTCTTTATTTTTATTTGATGAATTAGGGGTCAAAAACACATCTGAAGTATAACATTTTTGTAAATTTATATCTAAAGCATTATTTATTTGTGTTTTCTACTTGAATTATTATATATATAATATTTTGCTAGATTACTCAAAAAAGCCTAAAAACAAATAGCCTCAAATTAGTGTTTGTCCCGCTGTTTTAAAACATTATGTTGGTAATGAAAGAGATGTACTAAGAAAATACAAATCTATTAGACTTTTTATTTGGAAAAAAAAAAAAGTCAAAGAATGAAGAGAAGGAAAAGTTGCCTACGGCTACTATAAAGACAATACTAAGAAAAAGAGGTGAACTAAATAACAACAAATTTTTCTGTTTGTCCCATAATTATAGTATCACCATTCAATGAATATATATATATATATATATATATATAACGTTTTAAGTATCTTAATTATGTTTTGAGCAGATACCCTCACATGCATGCTTGATTCTTTTTATGAGTCGAGACTTTGAAGTCCAAGAGCAGCTACATAGGCTAAGTGATAAAACA